TCTAAATTCAGGGGGGATTCGTTCCTGGTCATATTTTGACTCTAATGGACTTGTTTTCATTTTCTGCAGCTTCAACTTAAACTGGCATAGGAGCAATTGATGTTCTGTTCCACTGTCAGCCCTTGGCCTTATTCTTACTGATAATAGTGAGCTTCTCCATCATTCCTTCCCACAGATATAGTCTATTTGATTCCTGTGTATGTGTATTCCATCTGGCAGGGTGTACCTTTATTATTGCCATTTATGTGGTTGAGAAAAGGTATTTGCAATGGATAAGTCATTGGTCTTGTAAAATTCTATCATGAAATCTCCAGTGTCATTTTTATCATCAAGGCCATAATTTCCAACTTAGATGCTTCTTTGTCGTGTTTCAATCACCAGTAAACATCAATACATCTTGATTACATGTTTGATCAATTTCAGACTATAGAAATTGGTAAAAATCTTCAATTTCCTCATCTTTGGCTTTAGTGGTGAGTGCATAAATTTGAATAACACTAGTATTAACTGGTCTTCCTTGTAGATGTATGGATGTTATCTTATCCCTGACAGCACTGTACTTCAGGATAGATCTAGAAATGTTCTTTTTGATGGCAAATGTGATGCCATCCCTCTTCAAATTGTCATTTCCAGCATAGTAGACCATATGATTTCTGATTCAAAACAGCCCACACCAATCCATTTCAGATCACTCAAAAAGAAAAAAATCACTGCCATTGAGTTGAATTTGACTCATAGCGACCCCACCCCCCTTTGGTTTCCCAGGCAGTATCTTTACGGATGTAGATTGCCTAGTCTTCCTTCCGAGGAGTGGCTGGTGGGTTTGAATTGCCAGACATCTGGTTAGCAGTCAAATGCCTTAGGCACTATGCCATCACTAATGCCTGGGATATCAATTTTTATGCATCCCATTTCATTTTTGATGACTTCCAATTTTCCTAGATTCATATACTATAATGTTAGCTATGGGTTTTTCATATATGACTTTATCTTAGTAAGAAGTTTCCCTTCTATTCCTAGATTGTTTATTGTTTCTTTTTATGGTGAAGAGATGTTGGATTTTGTCACATGCCTTCTCTGCATTGATTGAAATGGTCATGTCATTCTTTTCCTTTAGTTTCTTTATCTGGTACATTGTACTGATGGATTTTCTAATCCTAAAGCACCAGTGCATTTCTGGGAGAAACCCCACTTGATCATGGTGTATAATCCTCTAAATATGCTTTTGGATTCAGTGTGCTAGAATTTTGTTGAACACTTCTGCACCTATATTCATAGGATATATTGGTCTATAGATTTCTGTTTTGTGGTGTCTTTGTTAGTCTCATAGGATGAGTTAGAAAAAGTTCCCTCTTCTTCTAGATTTAGGGTAAGCTTAAGGAGGGTTAATGTTAATTCTTCTTTAAATATTTGGTAGAATTCCCCAGTGAAGTCATCTGTTCCAGGACTTTTATTTATTTATTCTTTATTCTTTATTGGGGAGCTTTTTGATTACTGATAGTCAATCTCATCACTTGTTATGCATTTGTTATTTCTATTTTGATCTCCTATTTCTATTTTAGTCAGTGTAGAAAGTTTATATGTTGTCAGTAATTTGTCCATTTCATCTAGATGATCTAATTTGTTGGTGTACAATTGAAAGTCAGAACTTTTTTTTTATAGAGCTAATGGCTCACAATGACAGGAGAAGGACATTTGTTCTACACCAAAGATGTCAGAACCACCTTTCAGGTACCTGTGGAATAAGGGAGACTATGGTAATCTGGCAAGATATCCTGCAATGTTTCCAGAACACCATATTCTTCCCCCAGTCATTATCCTCCCTCTTGGATACTGAGGCTTCAATAACTACCGTGTGTCAATGGAGTCTCTGGTCATGGAATTGCCTTCATTTATGATGTGGCTTTTGATGCCTGCCTTGGGTCAGGCATTGTAAATTCTGAGATAACAAGGACTGAGGACAACGTTCAAATAATTCACATTCTACACAGTTTGAAAAATAAATATGGAATCATGATTTAAGTTGATTGCTACTTCAGTGGAAGCATAACTATAACATAAATGCTGTTGAGAAACCAGTGAATACCAAGATTCTACTGCCTGGAGGGATCATAACATTTTAAAGAGAATATTACATTTGACCTAGGTATTGAAGAAACTATAAGAAAACTTCATCTTAAGCAGAAGAAAAGCATGAGATAAAGTTTAAAACAGCACGGTATGTTGGAGATTGGTCAAGAATAGATATCACTGAAGTTGAGAGCTTAGGGTATGAAGAGTGGAAGAAAAGATCACAGAGCTTCAGAATAGGAGTAACATGTGAGGGGTCAGGTCAACCAATTTGGGCATTAACCCATAAGACCTCTGTGGGGAGCCATGTAAAGTGTAGGGAAGCATGTCTAAACATGTGTTTCTGAAAGCACATATGGAAAAACACTCTTTGGCTGAATTTATCACAGAGGTAAAAAGGGAAACAGAGATATATGAGTCTCCCTTCTCTTAGTCCTTTCCCTTCAATCTCCTTGAAGAAAAATGTGGGTATGTTTCTAGAAGTTCCATAGAAACTTGAAACATCTAAAGAACAGTAATAGGAAAATGAATATGCTCTATAAACATTCACCCAAAACACAATACAAAGTTAAAATGTAAGTAAATAAAAAAGAACAGTAATAATGGAGAAATACTTAATGAAGAGCTGATGCTCACTAAATACTTATTGAATGAAGCCTACCTGTTTAGATAAACTATTAGGGGGCTAACAAGTATGGCCATTCTTCCATCCATCTATCTATCCAAGTACCTTTTCAGCCATCCTGCCTTCCATCCATCCATCTATGCAATCATTCATCAAATGTTGTTGTTGTTATGTGCCGTCGAGCTGGACCTGATCCATAGCGACCCCTCCTTGGTTTTCTGAGGCAATGTCACTACGGAAGTAGATTGCCCCATCTTCCTTCCGAGAAGTGGCTGGTGGGTTTGAACCGCCAGCCTTCTGGTTAGCAGTCAAGTGCTTCAGGCACTATGCTACCAGAGCTCCCTATTCATCAAATAGTTACTGCCTATTCTCTTTTTATGAGATAAAAATAATAGAATTTAAGGATTATCTAACCTCTGTGTTTGTTATTTTCAGGAAAACGAATTTGTGTGGGACAGAGCCTAGCCCAAATGGAGCTGTTTTTATTCCTAACCATCATTTTACAGAAATTTACCTTGAAGCCTGTGGTTGACCCAAAGGACATTGACACCACCCCAACTACAAGTGGATTACTTTCGTTGCCACCCTTATATCAGCTCTGCTTCATTCCTGTCCTGAACAGGACAGATAATCTGATGACTGCTGCGCTGTCGCCTGCAATTCCCCAACCGTGAGATTCTGTTCACCTTCTTCCAGTAGCAGAGATGCTTTTTCTGAACTCTCCTCTCCACATCTCTCTAGTCCTTTAAGATCCAGTGAAAATCCAACTCTGTTAAAGGGGAGTTTCTCTGCTTCATATAAATTTATCTCCAGTTCTCCATACTATGTAATACTTCCCTTGGTCACCACCACTTTTCTTAACACGTATCTAACTGAGTTACTACAGTCTTATCATTCTGAAACATAGCAAAAATGATTTTCTTTCCCAGGGTCATGGAGTGGATTCCAACTCATGGTGACATAATGTGTGTCATAACAGACCTGTGTGTCACTGAATTTTCACTGATTGTTTTTCAGAAGTAGATCATTAGGTATTTCTTCCAAATCACCTCTCAGTGGATTCAAACTGCCAACTTTTTATGTAGAGTCTGAGTGCTTAATCATGTACACCATCCAGGGACTACTCCAGTCATAGAGAGGGCACTAATTTCATGAGCTAAAGTGATAATAGACATATGCAAATATCACTATTGGATATACTTACTTGCTTGAATAATTTCTCTTAGGAAGATCAGCACAAGGCCAGTCTCTACAAGACAGGAATTAAAGATGTCCCAAATGTCCAACTTTTCCAAACTGCTATGCCACTCCATCATCTCTGACATCAACTCCTTCTCCTCCCCTCGGTACTCTCTTAGTCTTAGGGTTCCGTAGTTTGTTGTAACGTCTCACAGAACTCACAAACTCCCAAGGGAACATCTCATATGGTGGTGCTGGATGCTGGGAGGCTGGCAAGCTGGCAAGCTGGCAAGTTCCAGGTCTGTGGTTAGATCTGGACGATTCTCCCAACTCACATGGTTGTAGGGGTTGGTGAGCCCAAACCGGCAAATCAGATGACGGCTGCTGCCTTAAGTCCAGGGGTGAGATGAACCAAACGCAGAGCCACAGAATGGAAGCAAGAGAGAGTGAACTTTCCCAGAGCATTCACATATATACCCTCAATGAAGCTAAGTGTGGTGACTTGAGTCACACCCTCCAGCAAGGCGGGACTCAAGATACATCCTACCCTGAACAGGCATAAAGACTAGGATTTACAATACATGACAAAATGGGTGGTGACTTAAGTCACTCCCTCCAGCAAGGCAGGACTAAAGATGCATCCCACCCTAAATAGGCATGTTGTTGTTGTTGTTATGTGCCGTCGAGTCGGACCTGACTCATAGCAACCATAGAGGCCATATCACTGCGGAAGAGGCAGTATCACTGCGGAAGTAGATTGCCCCATCTTCCTTCCAAGGAGTGGCTGGTGGGTTTGAACCGTGGCTGGTGAGTTTGAACCGCCAGCCTTCTGGTGCAGTCAAGTGCTTTAGCCACTATGCTACCAGAGCTCCCTAAATAGGCATAAGGGATTAGGACTTACAATACATCACAAAATGGAGGATGATGGCTAGAAGGGCCATATTAAGCAATTCACTGCACTTTTAAGAGGCAAAGTTCTGGGTGCTCATCTATTTGATATCCTAGAAAATGTTTGTCAAACAAAAAACTGTAATGAGATTAGGTTATTTCCCTTCACCATGTCAGAGAAAGTGGAGAAAGACAAGGATGAGCTCTGAGCCTCAGACCCCCAACACAAGTGCTACATAAATATCTTGAAAGTTTCTGTTTTCCCTGAAAGAAAGCCTCATCTCCTATAGTTATAAAGCTTGTTGTTGTTGTTATTGTTGTTGTTATGTGCCGTCGAGTCAAACCCGACTCATAGTGACCCCTCCTTGGGTTTCCGAGGCAGTATCACTACGGAAGTAGGATTGCCCAACCTTCCTTCCGAGGAGTGGCTGGTGGGTTTGAACCACCAGCCGTCTGGTTAGCAGGCAAGTGTCTTCGCCACTATGCTACCAGAGCTCCCTTATAAAGCTTAGATCTCAGAAAACAAAAGCCAGAGCCCCATCCTGTGACTGACTGAATTACAATGGTAATTGATCACCATGGTGTCTTCTGTTAAAAGGAATACATTGCTGGGAAAGGAAAGGGATCCTGAAATTTTGAGTAGAGTCATGGGCAACCGCTGATGAAGCTAACATTGAACCCCAAAATTCTCATGAATCTTCTCTGCCAGTTGTGGTAGTTAAATTTGTGTATCAACTTGGTGGGCCTGGTTTAGTGGCTGGGCAGCTGGATGTAGTTTTTCCCCATGGTGAGACTGGTAGTTAACTCCATGGTGGAATCTATTGGAGTAGCTGAGTAGCTAGCTGCTTTAGGAATGTGGTCTGCTTCTAGTATATAAGAAGCAATATTGAGAAGGTGTCTAGCTTATAGCACACTCGAACCCTGCATGTAGCCGAGTCTTCATTCAGCAGCCTGCCATGCTCTGCCGATCTTGGGACTACTTCTAGACTTGAGTTAGTGGCCTGCCATGTTGTTTGGTAACATTGGGACTGTACCTTTTTACTTGTCAACCTTCGATTTGTCAGCCTCAGCAACCAGCAGCTGTCTGAATGAAGAAAAACCTCTCCAGCTTCAGTGGCCCAGGAGCAGGAGACAGAGCTGAAGCCCAAGGTTGAGGGGCTTTCACCCAGCCCCTAGAGCCTGACACTTTGAACTCGGACTTAAAGCCTCCCAAATGTAAGGGAATAAACTTCTTTTTGTTCAAGCCATCTCATTTGTGGTATATTCCTGTCAGAGTGCCACTAGGTAACCAAACACCAGTAGAAGCAGCCATTATACCTTAGTCTCAGGAAATTAACTCTGTTTTGCCAAAATAAACTGTAATAAACACCCCTCAGGTAGTTGCTTTGCAAGACACTGTTGATTGTCCTCAGAAGCCACCCCTCTTGGCTTCTGGAACTATAATTAGACTCACATTCCAGCAATTGCGAAAAAGGTGAGATACAAAGTGTGACCCATAAGAAGATTACTACACTCCAAAAAACTGCATGATTGTTCCAATTTAGAAAGACAGCAATCTGGACAATAACAGAATGGATAAGGATGTGGGGTCATGGAAGGAATATAAATTTGGTCATGCTGTATTGGTTGATAGGGATCCACTAAGCATAGATTCTAGATTCAATTTCCTAGTTCAAAGGTTTAGAGCTACCCAACCACCCCAAAATAGTCCAGAAGATATATCTTTCACCACAACTGTGAGAAATAAATTTGAAGAGTCTTTGCATCCTTAAAGAGCTCTGTGATGGTTCTTCTCTGTAGGTCATAATTTAAAGTGGGAACTGCTGCCACTGAACAGGGATTCTTAAGTGAAGTGGGTATAATTGAATCCTAGATGGCAAGGGCCAAGAGGCAGCACGTAATTGCCAAAGACAACATGGGTGTGGTTACCATAATGGACAAAAGAGTCAAAGCAATAATCAGAACAGTCTGACTCACAGAGAAGTGTGGCAGTGGCTGGATGATTACTGCATCTATCAAAAAAGTAATAGACAGACTATCTACTAAATGGTTACTTGATCTGTATAAGTGGAAAAGTTCTAGGCCAAATAAACAGAAGTCTGTCTTGAATTGCCAAAAGAGATAGTTATGGCTTTTCAGGTAATACCCAGACTTGCACCTGTTCATAGACCCAGAATGCCTTGAACGAACACAAAGCCAGGGCCTTGAGGAAGGTACCCCTACAGTGGCAAAAATTTATACTGTTAATCTTTCTCCAGCTGCTGGCACAAACTTGCCAACAACTCACTCTACAAGGGACCCCTGGATGGCAGAGCACCTTGACTGTGACAAGATCATACTTACTGTGGCTCAAGCTGAAGAGTTAGTCACTCAACAGGCCCTTGATAAGTGGGTCAGGTTCATCACCATGCTATCTTTTGGCCTTAGCTCCTGTCCGTCCATTACCAGGAAATTGTCTTTTCTTCTTTATATGCACATTCCAAGTGTGTCAGTCTCAAAGGACCTGAAGCATGGATTGCGTGTCTAGGAAAGGATGAAAGAGAAATTAACAATGCTTGGAGGCTCCTGAGACTTAATAGTGAGTTGATTGAGAGGGCAAGGGGGTGGGAACTGGATAGAGGGGCATTCAGGGAGCTGCAACTGGAAGCAAGAATGACAACATATTAGAAAATAGGGAAATCAAATATGGGATACTCTGCATATCTTTGGGATTGATCACAGAAAGCCCTCTAGCCTTAATGGAAGAAGCAGAGAAAGCTTCCAAGGGTTTACAACGGGAATGTCCCAAGTTACACCTCCTGGATCCAACGGATCTATTGACTCAGGACCATAGTACTGGGGGACACCAGACTCAATTGGCACAATAAAATACATAAAAGTCTTGTTCTTCATCCTACATTGGTGAGTAGTGACTGGGGACTTAAAAGCTTTCAAGAGGCCATCTAAGATGCAGCTAATGTTCTCCTGTTGTTGGAAGCGAAGAAGAGTGCAAAAACAACAAGGGCATTTGGAAGCAATCAGCCCTAGGACACGATGGCCCTCGAGACCAGAAGAACTAGATGGTGCCTGGCTACCAATGCCAATCACTCAGGAAAGGATCAAATATGGAGATCCTGGAAAAAGCGGGAGGAAGAAACTGGAACAAAATCCAAAAATCTATAATGACCAGAATTACTGGTTGGATGGAGTCTGGTGAGACCCCCAATACTATGGTGCTGGGATACAGTCTGAGCCTGGAATAAAACTCACTCCCAGGGGCTAGCTGTCAGCCCAATAGTAAATAAGATGTACATGCAAACCACTCAATCCAGGTGACTCTATGGAAATGTATCCCTTGGAGCAACTAACTGACCATGGGGCACCAGAGGGGCAACATTCACATGGAGGAAATGCAGGACACACAGGAGTGCATAACAATGAGGGGCATGGGGTGGGGTGGGGTGGGTGGTTTACTGGACAGGGAGGGGAGGAGACTGGGTTAGGGTTGGGGATGGTAATGGGGGGTGAAACTAAATGTACAAGTAATGTTGTAATGTAAACTTGCATCTAAAGTGTGCACACACACACACACACAAGGTACATTTCCTGGACATTCTTCAATAAACTG